ATCTAGGCCCAGACCGTTGCCACCCCCTACCCTTAAAATACAAGATGTGTATAGTATGCAATACATATGTTGGGAATCCACCAAACTTTCTCAAGATGGACGATGATGATGGAGGATTACGTTTCAATGCTTGTTATAACCAAAGTGCAAACTGTCCTTCCTGGAAAAGGAGACTGAATGCTTCGCTCCTCTCCTGTTTTGAACAAGTGGGCTCGGACTAACTAAGGTCCTAACCCCGATCCGGTCAATAAATCAGTACGGTTTGATGTCCAACTTAGCCAATTTTATGTAGAAACAACATGGACTCTAGGATCTCGATACCCCTGTTTTTTTTAGGAATTCTCCCTAAAAGCTATACTTTCTTAATTCAAACCAACTCCTACGATTCTAAGTCAGCTTGACAACTTTCGCATGGCTATTGTGAACCAATTTCTAAAACCGTAATGGAGCTAGCGACTCGCATTCTTCTAGTTTAGTATGAAAAGAAATGGGGCTACGAACCAACATCATAATATGTGCCGTGCCACTACCATTTTTAGGGGTGGCAGTAGATCGCGTCCGTCCAGACCCAGACCTGGATCCAAAGAAATTATGGGACCCGGACCCTACCCGTCGGTCCAATTCTTGGACCCATACCGGGACCTGACACACCCAGACCCGTATCGGGTCTGGGTCCATTGCCACCCCTAATCTGATCCATTTTCAGCACTAATTGAGATGATGTTTTTTTACCAAATTCCCTTAACTAATACGGAACTTGCATTTCAACTTTTATAAAGTCTCCCGTGACTTAGTTAGGGATTAGTATTAGCAAAAAGCAATAATTGTTGACATGTAACTGAGGTGTAAAACAATTTCCAAAGCTTTTGACCTAATCAAATCCAAAATTTTAGAAGCGATCCTTTTGGATAGATAATACTGTTGTGCTCAGGGGTTGGTGCACTTGTGCCCTAAGGCCTAGCCACCAAGTCAAGACTCAAGAGCAAAAATAAATGGGCAAAAACCTCATTATTTTATTTGTTCAGGTGAAAATTTTTCAGAGGGATAGCAACCCTTAACCATATCCAATTAACAATGGCAGCTATGGTAGAGGTCTTACTTAGTTGTCCTTCTTGACCCAAGAAAACTCAATTTTCTTGCATGGTTCTCAATGCTATTGACATTCTTTATTTGCAACTAAAAAAAAATCATTTTGTCAAGGCTCAATGACCAAATTGCTAGATAAAAGATTACAAAATAAAAAATAAAAAATTAGTCTAACTAATTGGGAAATTACTTGCTTGTCAACTAAGCAAATAACCAGATTTGGCTTTTCTTTCAAAGGCAATCAACAATAGACTGTCAATGGCCGTGACGGCATTTGCACCTTGATGCCTTCTTTTTTTTTCATTTTTTTTTGTAAGAAAGGATACTTCCCCTGACGTATAGAAGTTCTATATTCGTCCCATCTAGCTGTCCAATTTAGATCAAATAAGCTATTGACCGTGTGATCTAGATTCAACACCTTAGAGTATTTTATTTTTAGTTTTTATTCTAAAACTTATATGAATGTAAAATTTGATACGTGGCATCATCTCTAAAACTTATATGAATGTAAAATTTGATATGTGGCATCATCTCTAAAACTTATATGAATGTAAAATTTGATACGTGGCATCATCTCAATTAGGTGCACCTCAAAAAAATCTAAAAATATTTCCAATAAAATAAAATGACCAAGAATACCCCTGAAACTGTCAAAGGTATTTTAGTCCTTTTATTTTATAGGGAATATTTTTTATATAGTTTTTACATGTGTGATTTTAAGAGAGGAGTGATACTCAAAAGTTGATGTCAAAATATTTTGTAGAAAAAATATTAAAAATAAAAAAGTATAGTTGCATTGAATCCATCACATATGTTCTTTCAAATCTGATGGTTAGATAAGGGAAAATATATAACTATTATAAATTAGGGGAAGTATAGAGGCTTACCCTTTTCTTTTACCGTTCTTTGATATATTATTTTTATTCTTTTTATTTTCTCAATGAAAGCTCGTTAACTTTCAATTTTTTATTTTTTATTTAAAAAGGCCATGATTGCTATTTAAGACTCCTGTTATGGTTTAAGGATGGACAATAATCATATGTTTTCAACTTTCATAACATAGTTGATTGTAAAAGAAAAATATATAATAAAACCATTGATTTTTTATACAAGGTGGTCACAATTAATCTTATTTATTAGATGTGAAATTAGATGACTGCATTTATTCCATTTACCTCGCTCAAATTTCAAAAGAAATTTTCTCAAACTTTGTGACACACTTAAGCTATCAGATTTCACATCTGATGATTATAAGTAATCGTAACCTCCTTATATCAAAGATAAATGGTCTCTTTGTTTACCATTCCATTTTTAAAAGGGTGCGGTTTGTACAAAGATGCAATCTTACTTGTGGAAGGAAAATTGTGGTGTTCTACCTTATCTATTTTAGTTGAATGATGTAGTTTTGACACATCTTTTAAAACATTATAAAAAAAATAGGACGTTTTTTAATACAATTACAAATTTCCACCATTCAAATTAAACAGAAGGTATTAATTACTGCTACTTTCGACAAGTAAGGTTGCATCCGTATATAAACTTAAAAAATTGCTATTAACAAGCACAACTAAATCAAATCCCTTCATTTTTCTTTTATGACATAAAAAACGTTAAATCAAGTTGGATCCATGGCCTTGCGAGTTAGACTTGAGAGTGACCACTTTCCTAAGGGAAAAGTTCATATAGAGCCGAGGCTTTAAACAATCAAATTTGAGCCTACCTAAAAAAGTTTACTAGAAGAGGTTGTTTTAATGCCCAAATATCTTCAAATTGATCATCTCGACATCAAGATGTATGGACATGAGAAAAAAATGGATTCCAATTTTTTGAAATAGTGTATTTTGTAATGCATTTTTAGACCGTCAATTTTCAAGATTTTCAAGTTTTCATAGATATGTTGATCTACCCTATTTTTTAAGCTTTGAACTTTATAAATAAATATAAAATTATATTTTAAGGCTATCACAAAGATTTTCAATAGTAAAACCAACTTTCTCGACACTATTTAAAGATTGGGTCTAATTTGATTGTTCAGAGCCTAGGCTCTATACAAACCGCACCCCTTTACTTAATGTGATGAATTTCCTCATTTATTTATGGAGTTGGATCGTGTAGAACGTCATTCAGAAAAGATTGATTATTTTTAGGATGAGAAAATGTTTATGGGATTTCTTTATTAGTGGATAAAACTAAAAGAAAAAGGCATGAGAAAATCAAAAGTCGATATTATCTTCAATATTAATAGGATAAGATGAATCATTTATACGGTATCAAAATTCTATCATTTTAGTATTTTTTAATGTTAAAATTTTTAAAACCTTATTTACATCCTAGAATTTAAAAAGTAATTGTCGTTACATAAGAAATACCTTGAAATATGTCATCTCAATTTGATTATTTGAAAATGATTTAAAACCTACTCAAATTTTCGTTAAATTTTTTTAAACAGGATTTTAAACACTTTGACTGAATAAAAGGCTATGATGAAGAATTTATATTTATTCCATATAATATAACTTTCGTATATCAACTTTTCGATAAAGATCCATCAAATTCCAAACAAAGACCCAAAATATTCCAATAAAGTTACTCAAATAAAAATATTTTCACTGAGGTATTTTTTTAGGAAAAAGTTTTATATAAGGATAAGGTCCTAAACAATCAAATTAAGGCAATACTTCAAAAAATTCACCAGAAAATGTTGTTTTAATGTTGGAAAACCCTTGATTTGATCATCTCCACGTCAAGAAATATTGACATGAAAAAACTAGATTTCAAATAGTGAGAATAGTACATTTTATAATGTATTATCTAGACCATCAATTTTTAAGATTTTTTAACTTGAGATGTAACTCCATCTCAACTACACCACAAGGAGCTAACCATAAGTCCAAACGCAATTCCAAATTATCACTAATAATATATAAAGTGAGGGCATTGCTGATTGACCTAAAACATGGGTGGAATATGATCTGCTGTCAAGAAACATAGTGGAAACAACGATAACATTAGGGTTGGAAACGGTTCGTGTCGAGTTCGATCCAAACCCGAATAGTATTCGGGTCCAAGTTTTGGACCCGGATCCGACCAGTTGGGTCCAAACATTGAACCCATACCTGTACCCGTTGGGTCAAGCCATCTGATTTGTCATTTAATGGCTAAAAATGGCTACGAGTTCTTATTGTATACGATTCTTAATGCACCCAAATGAATAGGGTTTGAAATGAAGTATTTTATCTCCAATGGTTTATGGGTACGGGTCGGATGCATTTTAAATTCTGCTGGACCCGGACCCAGACCCGAATAATGTTTGGGTCCAGGCTTTGGACTCCCAATGATGAAAACTAATAGAGTAGAGATAGAAATATTTATGGAGAATAGAATGTTGATGCAAAGCTTATGGATAGATGGAGGGATGGGGGCTCTGAGATTTTTTTGCATTTTCTAATGGGTTAGTGAACCTCTTTTCTAAGCATTGGAATATATTCCCTTGTAGCATATTGCAAGTTTTGAATTCAATGACCTAGATTGGGCTCTGCCCATATCAACATCTAAGCCTTCTTTCTCCATTCTCTATATCCCTCTTCCTTTAAAAAAATCGTTTTGATTAAAAAATGACCGTTAATGCACTATTAATGGGTGGCTTAAAAATGAAACAGAATAACTTTTACTAAAAAAAAGTGCTCAAAGAATTTAAAGAAAAAATAACTATTACGTAAAGAACTAATTTTAACAATTGGGATGTGAAATTGGATGCCTGCAATTTACTTTGTTGACGAAACTCAAAATTGAAAAGAAACCTTCTCAAACTTGCCGACATAGTCAAGCTACCAAATTTGATTTTTTGTTGTTGTATTATGAGTGATTGTGAATACGAGTAATTGTGACCTGTACCAAAAAGTAAACAAAAGGAAGGGTTTCTATTTCGTATACAATCCCTTCGTAAGACGATGAAAAGTTGCTTACTTTTTCGCTTCTTTTAGAGAGAGGAAAAAATGCAGAAAGAGGAAGGAGTCCAGTGCCTCGATGCCGGAACGCCCTTTGACCAAACAGACGACGATGGGCGAGTCAAGAGAACAGGTAACCATCAAAACATTCTTTCTCACTAGAAAATACCTATCTTTCATGCTCTTCTCTCTCTCTCTCTAATTTTTTTTCTTTTTTCTTTCTGGTTCGGATTGCAGGGACATTGCTAACAGCGAGTGCACATATCGTTACTGCTGTGATAGGATCAGGGGTGCTTTCTCTCTCATGGGCAATAGCTCAGTTGGGGTGGATTTTTGGGGTTTTCGTGCTCCTGATTTTCTCTCTCATCATTTTATACACCTCGTTTTTTCTGGCGGATTGTTATAGATATCCAGATCCTGTTAATGGCAAGAGAAACTACAATTACAAAGCTGCCGTGAGTGCCCATTTAGGTATTGCAATTACAACACCACTTCTGGCTTTGCATTCAATAAAGCTCCAACCTATGATCTCTCTCTCTCTCTCTCTCTCTCTCTCTCTCTCTCTCTATTGTGCAGGCGGGCTCAAAACCAAAATATGTGCGTCCACACAGTATGTCTTTCTCGTCGGAAACTGTTTAGGTTACGCAGTAACTGCATCGCTGAGCATGGCGTAAGCTTTCTGCAACTAAGTTTTAGATTCAATTATGAGAATATATTGTTAAGAGTAGCAGGAATGAGATCAAAATATGTGCGCTCTCTCTCTCTGTAAATTTTGATCAGGGCGGTGGAGAGATTGAATTGCTTCCATAAGAATGGGCATGCAGCTGAATGCGTCGCTTCGACGAACAAGTACCTGGTCATCTATGGATGTATTCAGATTGTGCTCTCTCAAATCCCCAATTTTCACAAGCTTTGGGGCCTCTCTATTGTTGCAGCTATCATGTCCTTCTGTTACTCCTCTATTGGTGTTGGGCTTTCCATTGCCAAAATTGCAGGTATCTTTTCTTCGAGGGAGAGCCCTACTCCCCTCTCCTGAGTGTCGTCCCGAGCCCGGTCGGCGGGGCTGGGTAAAATTAAAGGAAAACAAAGCAAAAAGGATGAAAACTCAAAGACCCAGTGAACTGGGACTTAGTCTCACATATCCTTTCTTGAGCAGCTTTTGTGGCCAAGCCCCAGTTTTTAGAACTGATCAGTTTTTGTGGCCAGGCCCCAGTTTTTAGAACTGATCAGTTTTTGTGGCCAGGCCCTAGTCTCAAGATCTGTCCGGGTCGGGTCACTTACCACATGGCCACCCTAAGAGGGTGAGAGGCTTATTATTATAGGAAAGGTTTGTATATTTCTCATACAGCATAGAAGATCTATGCTTCCCTTACCATCCAGCTGTTTAATTTTGATCAAGAGAGTCATGCATCGTTTGATCTTAGATCCGACG